CATTTACCTTGGGGTGCGACCAAATTCGGAGGCCGGATTAGCCATATTTACATTGAACCTTATGGGGAAATTTGCCTTGTGGTGCGACCAAGAGGCCGGATTAGCCATATTTACATTGAACCTTATGGGAAAATTTACCTAGACTTGAGACCAACTCAAGTTGCAACGAGAGTAACAGAACGGATTAAGTTTGTAACTAGAGGTACCACTGTATAATCTTAAGGCAGTGCTGTATAGGGTTGTCACCAACCCTTTGAATTGGGCCCAGTATACTAGTAAACCATACAGTGACTTTAGTACTCCATTATAATCTGGTCACTCTTTGTGGACCAGATGCAGCTTCCAAGTCATCTCCAAAATGTACCCTATGTACAGTTGACTACAATAATCCAGTGAGTGTGATCAAAGCATGAGTTATGTTGCCAAGGCATCCTGGTTGAGGTAGGGTCACAAGTTGGCAAAGGTGCCCCTGGCCACAGCTTCCATATGCTGCTTCGGAAGTAGTTGCAAGTCCAGGAGGATACCCAGATCATGAACCAACTCCTTCAAAAAGAGTGTAATCCCTTCCTGAGTAACTACTGAAACTAAAGTCTCTGGATGTTTACAACTTGGTCTTGGAGGGATTCCATCTAAGCTTATTTTGCTTCATCTAGATCCTGACAGCATCCAGTCACTGGCTCAAATTTTCAGCAATATCCCAGGTCTGGCTTGGGATGGTAATGCACAGCTGTGTGTCATCTGAATACTGATACATCACACACTACCTTCCAGATGACTTCACCCAGTGGCTTCATATGGATGTTAAATAACATGGGGAGAAGACTGACTCCCATGATTACTGACTGGAACTGCCCACACAAGTAGGAGTGGAATTACTGAAACGGTAGTAGTAGATATCTAACAAAGTATCATGCCAATGGGATCAAATGCCTCTGAAGATCTAACAGGACCAAGAGGGGTACACTCAATGTCCAGATGTATGTAATCCAGGCAAAAGTTACCAAAAACTGTTGGGTCAAGGGAGGGCTTCTTCAAGAGGGGATCCACAACTACATCTTTTAAAATAAACAGCATAAAGCTTAAAGATACATCAACAGTTTCCTTGATCAAGCTACTTATATGCCTCCTAGTGCCCAAAGAAGCCAGGAAGGACATGGATCAAACCCACATGGAGTACCTTATTTTGCTCATCACAATGGATTGTATCCAACTGGTGGCCAGCCCAGAGTAGTTGTGAGTGATTTTATCTGCAACAAACTCCCAAAACCATCTAGCAAGCTCCAGGCATCTTATCCTCCCCTTCCCCTTTCTTGAATGGGCCCAAGTAACTCTGAACAAGGCTGCCAGGCAGCAGTCTGTGGACATAGCAGAGAGATGATTTGATGCTTCAGCACTGTTCTTGCTACTGTGTAGACTCAAGATGAGTTCTTACGAATATTCAGTCTCATCTGCTTCTGCTTTTTCAACATTGTTGCTTGAGACAACTTCTCAAGTGCTTTATTTTCCTCAGCATCTCAGTAAACCAAGGAGCTATACACTATTGGCGATTAGGTAAAAACCTCACAGGCACAGTCTCATCCAGCACAACTAAAAGGGCCCACCATGGGGTGTCTGTGAGACACAACTAGACAAGAAAATAATCTGACCATTGCTTAGGGAAATTGTCAGTATCTTTCATCTCCAGATCATGTCTCATCTACTCTGAAGTAAAAACTTGATCTAGTATTCTAGATAGATTGCTGTTTAGCCTTTGCTTGAACAAACCCAATGAAGGAGCCCACCGTTATTCTGGATAACTGATTTCATTGTGAAACTGTTCTCTCTGTTAACAGACAGTAACATTGGAATCTGCTTTCCTCTAATTTAAATCTATTAAGTCACTTGCTGAGATGGGCAGCTATAAAAATCAAATCAATAAATAGATAAAATTACACTACGCCCTGCTTTGACATACTTCTACAACACCATTGCCATACTTCTCTATGATATTCTTTCAGGTATTTGAAAAATGCTATCATATTTCCCCCCTTCCCTGGTCATCTTTTCTCAAAGCTAAACATAGCCATCTCCTTCAATCTCTCTTCATAGGGCTTAATTTTCTCACTGGTCATTGACCATAGTTAAATGAACTTGATTTGATTTTGATTTGAGGGCTTAGGTCCTAGTCACCTGATCATCCTTGTTGCCATTCTTTGAACCAGCTCCAGAATCTCTGAATCTTAAAGTGCTTCAGTGGGATTTGACCAAAGCAGAACAAGGTGGGAAAGATTGCTGCCCATGATTTGGAAATTATTCTTCTGTTATTACACCTAAAATTGCATGTGTCTTTATGCAGCCACATGACATTGTTGGCACATATTTAGTTTGCAATAAACCATTACCAAGGCAATTGATTTTTGTTTCCTAAACAAAGGACTCTGCATTTTTTTCTGTTGAATTTTATTATGTTGCTTTCAGCCCATTTCTCCGACCTGTCAAGATAATATTTCTGTCTTCTAAGGAAGTAGCTATCCCATAAGATTTCATGTCATCTCTTCATCACCGATGAGCACTTTTTGAGTATTAGTTCTGAGATAGCTAAATATCCACTTATTTATTGTGCCATCCAATCACACTTAACTAACTTGTAGATCAGCGTGCCATGGGGCACTTTGTCAAATGTTTTGTTGAAGTCAAGGTATATACTATGGCTGGTGTGGGTCTTCCGGGCTGTGTGGCCGTGTTCTGGAAGTTTTGTTTCCTAACGTTTCGCTAGCACC